GCAGCCACTTGACAAGCTTTTCTCGGCAGCACCTCACAAACAGTGATGTCTGCCTCCAAGAAGTGCAAAGATAGAGGGTCCATGGGAGCACCAAATTCCCTTCTGAACCACATGCTATCCTAACTTGAGAGACTCCATGAGGGCGGTTTCACAATCATTGAGTGCGAAACTGGCACAGAATAATTTGCAATAGACAAGCAATCCATTCTGTAAGATAATTACCCCAGGCAGTGAAAGTGAAAATTATTCCTATAGCTTTACACAGGTGAGTTGCAGCATAAATGATGCTGGACTGCTACTGCCCTGGCAGAACCCAGTTAAACTGTTTCAGTGCCAAAATATTTTGGATATCAATCAAGAACTTAAAAAAAAAGTGAGACGTGTTCACTTATGAGTGTTTTAAATCATGTTTGATCACATAAAGAGGAAAATAGCTGTGACAGTCATGAGACTTAGAAGGGAAAAAAGAACAAAGAACTGCGGATGCTGGAAATCAGAAACAAGAACAGGAATTTCTGAGAAACCTCAGCAGGTCTGGTAACATCTGTGTTCTGAAGAAGGATCACAACCTGAAATGTTAACTCTGCTTTCAGTCCACAGATACTGCCAGACCTGCTAGGTTCTCCCAGAATTTTTTTGTTTTTGTTTATGAGACTTAGATGTATTTATTCTGTTTAACTTGTTACAAGCAGACAAAACAAAAGTTACGGTCTTAAAAATTTAGTGGACAAGTTAGAATTCCTCCATGTTTAAAGAACAAAATATTGCATCCGGCCCTGGAGACACTATTTGATGGCCAGTTGCTCAGGTGCCTCCCACAGAGCAAAAGATTGGTGCAGCACTGTTACATTCGATCCATTGCACCTGTCTTGTGACATCTTTTATGTCCTGTAATTTCTTCAGCGTGTGTTGAACTTTGGCAGGCAGTGTAGATTGTGGAAGCAGGACAAAATATGCTATTACTATCTATATAAGATCATTGTGATGTGTTTATATATTTGCTAAGCAAATGGTTTTAAGTCAGTATTAATTTCTCTGTTATGGGCAAGATGAATATAGTTTCAATGGTGAAGATCCACAGGATAGGTTAAGTATCCTGCTGCACCTTTTTTGTCCAGGCACAATCTTTGGAATTTAAAATGAGTAATTGCACAGGAGAATTTTTTTTTACTGTTCATGTGGACAAAATATTCACATTCAATATTACAATTTACTGAAATGACAGAACTTCTTAATCAGGGTATTAGATAATATAGTTTCTATACTTATAATGCTTAAGCATGTTACAAGAAATTGAGTGCTGCTCCATGAAATTACATTTTGTTGCATTTTAATTTTTCTAGGTTGCTTCCTACCTATTTTTGCATTGTCACTTGCAATCAATGAGCTTCTTGTCATTCTTTTGTAGTGCAGCATTGTTCAGTGAGTTCATTACCGCAAATTCATTACAAGTTAACTTGCAATCGATTACTAGGAATTTCTATGTCCCATGTATATTATCATCCAGTATAAATTGCTAGCTAGTAAATACATGTTGAATTTACATCCTATTATAATAAATGAGCTGAAGTTTGAATAAATTGGTCTATTTTCAGATTTTTGTAATCTTTTAAAAAAAAATGTAATGAACACATTTTTTGTACCCATGGCAAAAATTATCCATATTTTGTAGACCACTTTCTACAATGTATTCATAGCAAACTCAACCACTGTATAATGAAAGCCTGTTCATTAGCAGATGAATCCTGGGGGAGTGTTGTCCCCACCACTTGAATGACAATACTGTGCAAACCTGTATCAGCTGATGAAGAAAAGAAACTTTCAAATTCCATTAGTCTGGTCTGAAATCAACCCTGGATTCTAAAAGCTAAATGACAGTGCTCGTATCCCATTATTGCTAGATATTAAAGTTTGTGAACACAGCCGGGGTAGATGGAGTTAAGGTGCAGATCAGCCATGAATGAAGAGACTGGATTAGAGGCCAAATGGCCTTCATCCTGTATGTGTTGTGTTCATGTATGATATTTCTACAAAAGTGATATGAATCAGCCTGACACTTTTTGCGATCATGTTTAAGTCAGTCTGAAATGTTATTGCCTTGAAAAAAATTAGCAAAAATAAGAATTGAGTTTGTGCACTTTTTAAAAACTGGCATAGCAAGAACTGCAGATGCGGGAGTCAGAGACAACACAGTGTAGAGTTGGAGGAACACAACAGGCCAGGCAGCATCAGAGGAGCAGGAAAGTTGACGTTTCAAGTCAGGGCCCTTCTTCAGAAGGACCCTGCTTTTGAAAATTGAGCTGCTTTTTGCTCAGCACATTTTTCAGTTTGTAATGAGAATTTTTTCAAAAACTTTGTTTCGCCTTTGTAGCTGACATGTTTTAATTTTAGAACTTTTAATATCTAATATTCTGGGTATGGAGGGTTCTGTATTGGGACTGTGGCTACAAGTTGTTGTTCAAGAGGGGAGGATGGGAAAGATTGGCAAAAGTGGGTAAGTCAGTATGGAAAGGGATTGCAATGGGCAGAGATGTGAATAAATTCAGAAATTGAAATTAGAGCTTAATTGGTTGAAAAGATCTTTGAGAGGGGAGAGTGAGAAAAAGATGAGTAAATCACAATGTCAAATTTCCACTTGGATCAACAAATATGAGAACGACATTGATGATATGTGAGCAGGTACATAAAGGGTTGGGGTCGGTTAGCTGAGTTTGCTGGTGGAGAATGATGGCAACAGCAAGGGTTCAATTCCTAAACCAGTTGAGGTTACTATGAAGGACTCATTTTCTCAACCTCTCCCCTCACTTGAGGTATGATGACCCTCAGGTTAAACCACCATCTGTTTGTCTCTAATGATAGAGCAGCCTTATGGTCTGATAGGAATATGGTGACTTTACCTTTTATGTGGAGGATGTTCCAACTACATCTGACTATTTCCTTAGCCTGCATCAACATTAGCCATGGACTTAATAGGTAACAAAAAGGAGCACTGACTGATCGTTGTTTTCATCTTTTGTACCACTTTTGTAATTGCATCACCATCTTCCACCACCACTTTCTGCATTGTAACAAATGTTCTTTCTTACAATTCATTTCATATAGAAAAATGTCCCAAAGCACTTCTAAAAGGTGTAATCAAACAGATATGTGCAAAGCTAAAGAAGAATATATTAGGATTGACGTGACCTTGGTTTAGGAAAGGTGTGAAAGAAGGAGGGTGGAGAGAATTCCTGAATTATGAACAGAAAAAGCCAAAAGAGACCCCTACCAAAGATGAGTTGATGGGAAAGGGGGATGTACAATGTTGGAACTTAAATTTAGAAATTTTGTAACTGTGTTTGAGCGTTGCAGAACTAGTATCCAATGAGAAAAGTAGTGATGGATGAAGGAGATGAATGAATAGCATACGAGCAGCATACTTTTGGATGAACCAATGCTTGCAAAGCACTAAAGACTCAAATTTGATAAAAAACAGCATTAAAACAGTCAAGTCTGGAGAAGACAAAGGCCTAGATTAATTGTTTGAGTGGTAGATGGCTCAAAGTAGGTTGTGTTGTGGTGATAAAATTTGACAGTCTTTACAAATAAGAAGTTATGGATTGAGAATTCCACTTGGGATCAAATAAAATTTGAATTTGTGAGCTGCATGGATCAGCACAAATGACTAGGCTGTAAAAATAGAATTGTTTGAGAGGATGTAGAATTTGTGGGTGCATAAGATGATTACTTTGATCTTTTCAATGTTTAATTGGAGGGATTTGAAGTTAATCCAAATTGGATGGTAGTCTGACTAGACAGAGGTAGTGGCAGGATCAAAACAATTGATGGAGAAAGGGAGCTGGTTGTTATCAATGTACGTATCTGAAGATTTGGGACAGTTTCCATGTCCTTGAGGTTTTGCATTTAGATGAGGATAAAATCATAGTTGTTTTCCTTGGGGAAGCTCCAGAGGTAACTGGTAGGATAGAAGAGATCATTGCTGAAAATGCTTGGCTGCAATTGAATTGTTAAGAGTGGAATCAAATGGGAACAATCCCATTGAGCTGTTCAGATGATAAGTGGAAAAGAGTTGTTTGGTCAACCATGTCAAATATTGCAGGAGGGATAATGTACAATGGACGCAGATTCATTTCATTAGGAATGTAATTATACTTAAACCAGACTGACCAAGTCTGTGTGGCACAGTAACACTGGAGGCAGTGCATTTTTGAGCCTGGGATATATCTAATCTAGATCTCATTTTTTAATGGTTGCCTCATCGGACAAGGCAGCCTATAATCCATTATTTGATACATGATTCATGCTGGTGACAATGAAGTATTGGTTGCCATTTAGTTAGTATATTTAAAAGTCAAACTGAGAACTGTAAATTTATTTTGTTTTTTTTTGCCATTTAAGTTATTGTGGTTTACTAACTCAACAAGAACAGTGTTTGATCACACAGGTAGCTGCTGCATTGTGACACTGTTTCAAGAAGGATAGTTGACAATAGCTGCATAGAGTTGGAGGTTTATGCTGATGTCTGGTCTGTCACTAAATAATCAGAAACATATTTCTAACTATGAGGGCGTTGTTTGTAAAGCTAATGAATATTATGCAAAGTAATGGATAGATGAGTGCAACTACAGAGCTTGATGCAGACTTGACCTTATTCTGACTTCTCTATTCTTTATTCTGAAACCAGCAAAGCTCTGATAGGAATATTTGGTACAGCAAAGAACGTTGATGTCTTGCAGCTTTCAAATTCACCGTTTTACATTCAGAATACATTTATTCATCAACTTACTTTAACAAAGTCTTTTGCGTTCACGCAAATATCAGTAGGAGCCAGCTGGAATGGACATTGGGTGCATGACACTTGGTGGGGGGAATAACAACAAGACCACAGAGAAAAGGTAGAAGGCAGTGTACAAATTACAATAGCTGGAGATTGCACAATGTAACTAAAGTATAGACTCTTACTTTTCTCACTTACACTGTTTTCATTTTCTGTCTGCCAGGTGTTGTATACATGAATGGCCGTGTTTATGCAGTGGGCGGATTCAATGGATCGCTGAGAGTCCGGACTGTGGATGTCTATGATGCAGTCAAAGACAACTGGACATCCATTGCCAGTATGCAAGAGAGACGAAGTACTCTTGGAGCAGCAGTGTTAAATGATTTACTCTATGCGGTTGGTGGATTTGATGGGAGTACAGGTACAGTGGGTTGTCCACGAATTTTTTTTACCCTTTCTCCATCTGAGTTCTTCTTCATTTTACAATTCTATTCACCGCTTTCAGAAAATAAACGATTTAATTCTCATTTGTAATAATAGAGGGTTGTAACTTTCTGAATCATCACTTTCATGAGAGTTTAGAAGAATGATGGGGATAATCTCATAGAAACCTACAAAATTCTAGTGGTACCAGACAGGGTAAATGCAGAAAGGAGATCCCAATGACCATGGAGTCCAGAACCAGGGGTCACAGTCTAAGAGTAGGCCACATAAGACTGAGATGAGGAGAAATTTCTTCACCCAGAGAGTGGCGAGCCTGTGGAATTCTCTATCATAGAAAGCCTTTGAGGCTAAAACATTGCATGTTTTCAAGAGGAGTTTCATATTGCTGTTAGGGCTAAAGGGATCAAAGGTTCTGGGGAGAAAGTGGGAACAAGGTGTTGAGTTGGATGATCAGTCATGAATGTAATGAATGGTGGAGCAAGCTCAAAGTGCCGAATAACCTATTCCTTCCATTTTTCCTGTTTATATCAATTATATGTCACTCTTGTGTTATCACAAAGTGAGGGAAGCTGCTTAGCTTGTTTTGGTACATGCACATTAAACGTTAAAGTTGCCTCATGTCATCCAATTATTTTGCATAAATGGACCAATGAGTGGCAAACAGAGTTTAGATAAATGTGAGGTGCTGCATTTTTGTAGGGCAAATCGGGGCAGGACTTATACACTTAATGGTTAGGTCCTGGGGAGTGTTGCCGAACAAAGAGACCTTGGAGTACAGGCTCATACTTCCTTGAAAGTGGAATTGCACGTAAACAGGTTGGTGAAGAAGACATTTGGTATGCTTGCTTTTATTGGTCAGTGCAGGGAGTATAGGAGTTGGGAGGCTGTACAGGACGGTGGTTAGGCCACTTTTGGATTTCTGCTCTCCCTGCTATTGGAAGGATGTTGTGAAACTTGAAAGGGTTCAGAAAAGATTTATGAGGATGTTGTCAGAATTGGAGGGTCTGAGCTATAGGGAGAGGCTAAATTGATTGGGGCTATTTCCTCTGGACCGTTGGAGTCTGGGAGATGATCTTATAAAAGTTTATAAAATCATGAGGGGCATGGATAGGGTAAATAGTCAAGGTCTTTTCCCCAGGGTCGGGGAGCCCAAAACTAGAGAACATATGTTTAAGGTGAGAGGGGAAAGATTTAAAAGGGATCTAAGAGGCAACTTGTTCACGCAGAGGGTGGTGCATGTATGGAATGAACTGCCAGAAGGAGTGGTGGAGGCTGATACAATTACAACATTTAAAAGACATCTAGATGAGTATATGAATAGGAAGGGTTTAGAAGAATATGGGCCAAATTCTGGCAAATGGGACCAGATTAATTTAGGATATCTGGTTGGCATAGATGAATTAGACTGAAGGATCTGTTTCCATGCTGTACAATTCTATGACTCTATTTCTTAATCCAGTTTATTTTGTATATTTTTGTTGTTACTGATTGTAGCAAATATATTAAAATTAATGAGGTTACTGATCATTTGTCTCAATTTCTTTTCTGATTACAGCAGTCATGCCTTGGAACCAACAAAAACATACGTATAATTAAAAAGATGTTTAAGCATAATTTTTCCAAACTGACCCTGTACAATTAGCGCTGTCACTTAGTTTTCACAATTCATTCAATCTTCTGAGGCTTGCATTTCTCTAAGGGAATATTCTTAATCCTGATGTATTTTATCCTTGACCTGTATCTTCATTTAATAACAAATAAATCTTTGATTTAATGCTTGTATTACTTTTAGTTCTGAAAATGAAATGATTATACCATTTTCTTCCCCTGTTAAGTAGGATTATCATCAGTGGAGGCTTATAATTACAAAATCAATGAATGGTTTTTCGTGGCACCCATGAACACAAGAAGAAGTAGTGTTGGTGTTGGAGTTGTGGAAGGTAAGAGGAAAAGATGACAGATATTTTATAGCCCAAGGTGTTTCCTGAGAGATTGCTATTCCAAATATTATCCAGTAAAGAAAGAAATGAATTGAATAAAAGAAATGTACTTGATCTTGGAGTCCTTTGCCTGCATTGTTTAATAGTTCGAATAAAATAAAAATTAATTAATTTTTCACCTTAGCTCTGACCCAAAATTGTTAAAATTCAATCCTGATTATGTAAATTTAGGTACTTTTATAGAGACTCCTTAGTGGAAAATAAACTTTTAATTAAATGAAACAATCTGATCAGACATCATTTATTGTTTCCTAAAGCAAATGGTCAATTTAAAGATTATTCTTTTACAATTTTTTTTTAAGTGGGACAGTCCTCCTGAAGGCTGTAAGTCATTGTGTGACCATTTACCTTGTCACTGGTCTATTGCATGCTAAATGTGTGTTTATCTTGATGAAGATGTCTCTGATATCATATGGCATGATAACACAAAAAATTCAAACCCACACAGCAGAGAGAAATGCACACTGTGTACTGCACCCACAGCATGTTCTGATGAAGAGAACAATATAAATGTGAATTTCACAAAGGTGATTTCAAACCACACATGCATCCAGAGACTCTTCTTGATTGTGTAATTTTGTTTTTGATCTTCCCTTTTAAGAAAGCATCTTGCATCTCCCACATTTCAGGATCCACAGTTAATTTGTTCTTCTTAAATATTCTTGCTTCTGGCTGGAGAATAGAGACTATTGAAAGCAATTTCTTCTAAATTAAGGGCATTTTGTTTAAATATTAGATTTTTGCAAAGCATGGTTGGAACGTTTTATATACTATATGTTTTCTTACTTTCCAAATGTTCATTGCATTGATTAATGATATAACATGTAATAACTAATCATATCAAATTAGGCTTGCCAGAGTTAGAAATTCATGAATTATATTAGTTGCAAATTGTTCACACAAAGAATATCAGGATTTACAATTCCAGTCTACTCAAGTTAAATAATAGATCAGATTTCTAGTCTTCAAGAAGGAGGTATCCAGCCAAATCATTTAAACTGAATAATTACCTTTATTCTAAACATAACTGGTGAGACAGTCCTGGCGAAAACTTCCATTGTGGAATTCTTTCACTCCAGCTGTTCTGTTCTGTGTCCCAGATATTTGAAAACAGAAGCATTTTAATGATGCTTCTACACAGAACAGTAATTGCCACATGGGAGTAAACAACATAGGTAGGGAAGGAAAACGTTGAATTGTATTCAGGATTTTGCATAAAATTCAATGCAATCTTATGTCAATTCTTATCAAGTAAAGAACTGTGGATTCTGGAAATCTGAAATAAAATTGAAAAATGCTGGAAATACAAATCAGGACTGGTGGTATCTTTGGAGACAGAAATAAGTATGAATTCTTCAGATTTATGCCTTTCGTCACTTCTGATGTTTAGAATCGCTCACTTGCTTGTGCTGTTTCGCTCTCTCTGTCTCTCCCTCACATCTTATCTTATTTCCTGTTCTCTCCTTGATTGAACAACTAGTATTGAGCAAGAAACAAAACAGTGTTTAACAATTTTGAAATGCATGTGTTGATTGTTAATACACCCTCTATCTCCTCAGGCAGGTTGTACGCAGTAGGTGGCTATGATGGAGCGTCACGCCAATGTCTTAGCACTGTTGAAGCATATAATCCAGTCAGCAATGAATGGACATACGTTTCAGATATGAGTACACGTCGTAGTGGTGCAGGTTTGATTTTTACTTTTTTTTTTGGTGTGATGTATAGTAATTTAGACCCTTCTGCATGTCTTTTGAAATCAAACATCATTTCAAAATAATCTAGCCTGAAAAATCAGCATGGGTGTATAAAAGGCAAATTATGTTTAACAAATCTGCTAGAGTTTTTTGAGGATGTAACTAGTAGAATAGATGAGGGAGAACCGGTGGATATAGTTTATTTGGACACTACTGTTGTACAGGGCCTTGGTAAGACCATGTCTGGAGTATTAAATGCAGTTTTGGTCTCCCTACCTAAGGACAGATATACTTGCCATTGAGGGAGTGCTGCAGAGGTTCACTAGGCTGATGGCAAAGATGGCCGGACTGTCGTACGGGGAGAGATTGGTTTCATCGGACCTGTATTCATGTGAATTTAGAAGGATGAGAGGGACCTGATTGAAACGTATAAAATTGTAGCAACTCTGGACAGACTAAATGCAGGGAGGGTGTTTTACTAGGTTGGACAGTCTAGTAGCACTGTAGTGAAATCATCAAGTAACATCCTTTGTGACTGTGAACTTGGAAAACAGTTCCTCCTCTACTTGGTCTGTCAGCAGCTTTTAAAATGGTTGACCACATGATCATCCGCCACTGTATTCAGCTGGGTGAAACTGCATACAGCTGGATCTGTTCTTATGTATTCAGTTGTAGTCAGATAACCATCTGAAGTGGCTTCTCTTCTTGCTCCTGTACTGCCACATCTAGAGGTACCTATGGATACTCCCTTGACCACCACCCCTTTAGTTCCTGATTTCTATGTAGCCAATTGATGACCTCATTCAAAACACATCAGGTTCATGTACACTGATGACGCCTCCACTACCTCACCACAACCTTTCTTGGTTCTTCAAATTGTCTCTAAATTGTCATGCTGCTTATCTGTTATCCCGTACTGAATGAGGAGAAATTTCCTCAAATTAAATATTAGGGAGATCAAGTTAAAGCTGGCATTTTTAGGCCATGCCACAAATTCCATTCCTTAGCCAGTGTTCCTTTGACATCTGTGATAGGGAAGGTGTTAGGTGCTATTATTAAAGATGTTATAGTATTGAGTCATAGAGTCATACAGCACGGAACCAGACCCTTCGGTGCAACCAGTTCATGCCGATCATAAACCCAAATTAAACTGGTCTTACCTGTCAGCGCTTGACCCATATCCCTTCAAACTTTTCTTATTCATGTGCTTATCTAAATGTCTTTTAAATATTGTAATTGTACCCGCATCCACCACTTCCTCAGAAGTCCATTCCACACGTAAACCACTCTGTGTAAAAAGAAAAAGTGCCCTTCATGTCTTTTTTAAATCTTTCTCCTCTCACCTTAAAAAATGCCCCCTAGTCTTGAAATCTCCCACCCTAATGAAAAGATACCTGCCATTCACCTTTTCTATACCCCTTGTGATTTTACAGACCTCTATAAGGTCACCCCTCAACGTCCTACGCTCCAAGGAAAAATATTCCAGCCTATCCAGCCTGTCCCTATAGCTCAAACCCTCCACTTCTGACAACATTCTGGTAAATCTCTTCTGAACCCTCTCTACCTTAATAATATCTTTCCTATTACAGGGAGACTAGAACAGCACACCGTACTCCAGAAGAGGCCTCACTAACGTCCTATAACCTCTACATAACTTCCCAACTCAAAGGTCTGAGCAAAGAAGGAAAGTGTGCTAAATACCTTCTTAATCATCCTATCTATATGTGATGCAAACTTCAAAGAATTATGTACCTGGACCCCTAGGTCTCTCTGTTTTCCAACACTGCCCAAGGCCTTTAGAAAAGGTCAAGATAATCAGGGAGGATCAATATGGTTTTGTGAAAATGAAATCATGTTTAGCTAGTTTATTTGAGTTCTTTGACGAAATAACACATGCTGTGGATAAAGAGGGAACTGGTGGATGTACTGTACTTAGATTTACAGAAGGCATTTGATAAGGTGCCATATCAAACAGCATTGCAGAAAATAAAAGCTTATAGTGTGGTGGGGGGGGGGGGTGGCGGTGGCGGTGGGGGAAGGTGGTAACATTTTAGCAGGGTTAGAAGTTTGGCAAACCAACAGAAGGTGGGAAGTAAGCATAAATGGATCATTTTCTGGTTGGCAAGATGTAATGAGACCTCAGAAATGAACCTCCTCAACTTTTCACATGAGTGATTTGGATGAAGGGACTTGAAAGTATGGTTGCTCAGTTTATTGATGATGCACACATATGTAAGAAAATTAGTTGTGATTTCATTTGATTTGATTTGAATTGATTTATTAGTCACCTGTACCGAGGTACGGTGAAAGTGTTGTCTTGCATGCTTTACAGGCAGATCGTACTATACAGGTGCATCGCAGTAACAGAGCAGAGTACAGGATACAGTGTTACAATTGCCAAGAAGGTGCAGAGAGATCAACATTAACATTTAAGAGGTCCATTCAAAAGCGTGTTAACAGCAGGAAGAGGACATAAGGAAGCTATAAAGAGATGTATGTAGCTTAATTGAGTGGACAAACATCTATAATGTGTGAAAATGAAAAAAAAAGTCCATTTCGGCCAGGAGAATAAAAATAATATTATCGAAGTGATGAGAGAATGAGGAGCTCTGAGATGCAGAGAGATCTAGATACTCTAGTGTGTGACTTACCAATTAGTGTGCAGGTGCAGCAAGTAACTAACAAGTGTAATAGAATGTTATGGTTCCTTGTGAGGGGAATTGAATGCAAAAGTAGTTAAGATATGTTTGCTATGCAGGGCATTGCTGAAATCACATCTCGAATATTGTGTGCAATTTTCATCTCCTTCATTAGGGAAGGATGTAAATGTCAGTTCGGAGAATGTTTTACTAATTTTTTTTTAGACCATAAGACATCAGCTGAATGGCCTATTTCTACTCCTATCAAGTCTGCGCCACCAGTCAATGAGATCATGGCTGATCTGATAACTCTGAGCTCTACTTTTGTGGGACATTATAAAAGCTTCCTGAAAATCTGAATATACAATTTCCCCCTTATCTATTTTGTGACCTACTTCCTCAAAAAAAAGTTTTATCAGACATGATTTCCCTTTTATTATTCCATGTTGACTCTGGCTAATCTTACTGTTATTTTCTAAATGTTCCATTATCACATCTATTATTACAAATTCTAACATTTTCCCTTCTTTTGTCATTGGTGGGATGTGGGTGTTGCTGGCTGGGCTAGCATTTATTGATCATCTGTAGTTGCCCTTGTGAAGGTAGTGGTGAGTTGCCTTCTTGAACTGCTGCAGCCCATGTGCTGTAGGTTGACAAACAATGCTGTTAAGGAGGGAATTTCAATTGAATACACTGTAAACTACCACTGATGTTAGGCTAAGGTGAGACCTATGAACTCCTAACAGTTCAATAGGTGCATAAAATATATGGTCTGATACTGGGTTATAACGAACTTTACCCAAATTAAACTGTTCATCACTGTTGAGTTAGCTGGTCTTGATCGTATACGTTACAATTAGCTTCTGTTTTTAGGAATACTGACCAAATTCCCTCACTGGATCTTGAGCAACTTGTGTTGTGATATATATGTGTGAACATTCGCGAGGATAAGACTGAACCTGACTGTTAGCACCACCACCCTCTCCCAAGCACCCCACGCCTAGTCCCAACCCCCAACACTAAATAAAAGCCTACTGTGATTTTGTTTACTAAGCTCACATAGGGGAAGGGAGAGCTACTTGTTTCTATGGAAATGCAGTCCAGCAGGAGTTACTACCTATAGTAGAGGAGTAAAGGAAGGATAATTGGAGAGATAAAAAGATACTCCTCAACCTGAAGAGCAACATAGAACCCTCATCATGTCAACAGAAAGGAAACATTGCTTGTTAACCTTTCAGTTAAGTCATTTCCTTGTATTGGCTAATGGTCCACTAAACAGAATGCATTGGTATGATTTGTATTACAAAAGAAAGTGTTTTATTCATTTTCTTATACGTTTATTACAGGGGTGGGGGTTCTGAATGGCCAATTGTATGCAACTGGGGGTCACGATGGACCTTTGGTGAGGAAAAGTGTTGAGGTGTACGACCCATCCACAAACATTTGGAGGCAAGTGGCAGACATGAATATGTGTCGGAGGAATGCAGGTAAGAATCCATTTAAGCATCAGATTTTACCTTCTACCTGAAGGTCGACCAAACTTTAGCCAAATTAAACTTTTTCTGTCTTGTAGGAGTTTGTGTGGTAAATGGATTTTTGTATGTAATTGGAGGAGATGATGGTTCATCAAATTTAGCTTCTGTGGAATTCTACAATTCTATAACTGACAAGTGGACACTATTACCGAGCAATATGAGTACTGGAAGAAGCTACGCAGGTAAAGCTGTTGCAGGTTTGTAGCTAAGGTTGTTCTAACTGGGATGATGTGCACCACTATGACATGCAAACTAAGATGTTGTACTTTATTTTTCAAAAATCCCTTCTCGTCTGACTGTTTTGCATCCATGCATTGTTGGAATTGATGTCATAGAGTCATACAACACCGAAACAGACTCTCCAGTCCATGCCTACCATAATCCCAACCTAAACTAGTCCCATCTGCCTGTGCTTGGCCAACGTTCCTTCGAACATTTCTTATTCATGTACTTATCTAAATGTCTTTTAAATATTGTAACTATACCCACAGCTACCATTTCCTCTAGAGGTTCATTCCACACATGAACCACTCTGTTTAAAAAAAAAAAAAAAATTGCCCCTCATATCTTTTTTTAAATCTTTCTCCTCTCACCCTAAAAATATGCCCCTAGTCTTGAAATCCCCCACCCTACGGAAAAGACACTTGTCATTCACCCTATCTATACACCGCATGATTTTATAAACCTCCATAAGGTCAACTCTCAACCTTCTACATTCCAGTGAAAAAAGTCCCAGCCTATCCAGCCTCTCCTTATGACTCAAACCCTCCATTCCCAGCAGCATCCTGGTAAATTTTTCTGAACCATCGCCAATTTAATAATATCCTTCCTATAAAAGGGCAACCAGAACTCCAGAAGGGGGCTCACTGTCCTGTACAACCTTAACATAACATCCCAATTTCTATATTCAAGGGTCTGAGCAATGAAGGCAAGCATGCTAAATGCCTTAACCACCCTGTCTATATGTGATACAAACTTCAAAGAATTATGTACCGGAACTCATAGGTCTCTTTGTTGTACAACACTACGCAAGACCTTACTTTTAATTGTTTTAGTCTTGCTTTTGTTTATTTTACCAAAATGCAATACCTTGCATTTATCGAAATGCCACTCCAGCCCACTGACCCAATTGATGAAGGTCCCTTTGTAATCTTAAATAACCTTCTTCACTGTCCACTATACCATAAATCTTGGTGTCATCCACAAACCTACTAACTAGGCTTTCTACATTCCCATCTAAATCATTCATATAAATGACAAAATTGAACACAGCACAGATTCTGTGGAATACCGCCTCTAGTCCAAAAAACAACCTGCCACCATCACACTGTCTCCTGCTGTTGAGCCAATTTTGTATCCAATTGTATTTTAGTTTATTCCTTTTCAGATACTGAAGGACGCTTCTGCGGTCCACGTTCCGTTCCTTGTTAGTTTGTATCTATATTTTCATTTCCTTTTAAGCAGTTTCCTGGTCCTCCTCAGTCAGATTGATTGGTGCTGATGGCCAGGGTTACCATTTTCTGGCATTTTTTTTGCCATTTCCTTTGATCAAGTGCAATCTTTAACTTGTATTGTAAACCTCAATAGATTTACCTTTCCCTCTGGGTGTTTGTGCCATTGAGGAATTTATTTGTTGCAGACTGGAAAATTTCTTTGAAAGCTGCTACTGCCTGTCTTTTGTCATACCTTTTTAGTGACTTTTCCCAATCCAGTATAACCAATTTACCCCTCAAATTCATAATGTCCTTTCCTTGAAAACATGATCTTAGTTTTGAAATCAACTATGTCATGTCTTTAAACTTAACGTGAAATTCTATCACATTATTGTCACTATTTCTCAAAGGCCCTGTTAGAGGAATGTTATTAATTAGCCTTTCTCATAACATAATATAAAATTCAAAACCGCCTTATCCTAGGCTGTTTTAATTTTGTCATCCATCAGAAAATTACTTGAGCTTTGAAATCTATGCATTTAGTGTATATAATCCTTTTTAATAATTTATCTTTAAAATAATTTTGTGCAGAGGTAACAAAGTAGTGATATTAGGCAGAATTTTCCAAGCCTCTGAATGATGTACATAATGGTGAGAGCGTTGGGAAAATACAGTAAGAAAGGAAAAATTAGATTCTTGATGATGAGGAAGAAAGTGGGATATTTCTGCACAAGATTTTTCAATGACAAGATCAGAATTTTGCTTCTAAGCAACAAAGGGTCTTTCGCATGTATTAACACCTCATCATTAATAATCTGACCTCTATATGCCTTTTCCCAGGCAGCAGAGAGAAATTAGGCAGTTCTAGTTCCCCACATGAATGTCAGAGCAGTTATCTGTTGGCAATAGTTTACTGGCGTCTCTTTCGGGTATCATCTTGGCCAGCATTCCCCATCTCAGTCTCACTTATAATACTGTTCAGAAATTCAGTACTGCACTTTAGATCTCACCAGCACCTTACGTAGCAATGCTGTTGTCAGGCTGCTTTATGCATAGGCATAGGCTGCCAACTCGTACATCAAAGTAGTTTGCAACTCAGGGCTCTTAACTTGCTTTCCTTACGCCCATTCACTTTGCAATTACTTGGATGTTAACTGCATCTCTGTCTTGCCTTGACTGTTTTGCACATTGCTGCATCACTCAGGACTGACAGGTTCACGTTACTTTGTCTTCCTTGCTTTTTAGTGTAGACAGAACAGGGTTAAAGTGGAGAGCTGAAGAATTAAATAAAAGGGTTTGGAATGTGGAGAAGCTCAAATGTGTTGGGGTAGACAGGGAGTGCAAGGCAGAAAGGAAACATCAAGATTTGGGAGGTCACCTAGATTTACAGGAAGAGCGTGCAATTCACTCTGAAGCACTACATGTGTTGTCTTTTAGTTGTCATCCAAATCCCAAAAGTGCAGTGGAAGTGAAAAATGACTGTCACCCCACCAAATGGGGCAGAAAAAATGTTTTTGTATGAGGAAGTGAGCCCTACTTGAGTGATGTGAAGCCTTTCAAGAGGCAATTACGTTAATCAGGCACTTACACAGTATACTTTAAAGACATTTGTTATTGCAGAGACATTTGTTATCATGGAACGCTGCATGTGAATCTCATGAGGTGACTAATTATGTTGAATAAAAATTCTGGGCACAAGCGATCTTGACCATGTCATTAACCATTGCATTTTAACCCTAGTAATCACTGTGAAGTAAAAGTAATGTCAGGTGAACTATAAAGTTACACCTGTGTTCCACAATTCACAAGGACATTCAAAGATCTCACAGGCTGCACAAAGTCATGGAGCTGCTTTCTTCACACCTTGGACTGTACAATTCTCACACCATTATCTTACATGCAATGCTGCCTTTTTAGGATAATGTGAGGGAGAAGGTGTCATTGTTCTTAATACCCCAATACACTCCTAATTTATGTGTGCAATATATAGCAGAATACGATAATTTATGTAACATGTCCATACAGAAGTATCTCATTGCCTCCTTGTCTGAGGCCTCCGCGTCCTAGTGAATGGATGATGATGATAAAATGTTACATGCATTCTGCAATCCCATTACTGAGAAGTTCCTTGTTTCTAACAATCCCCACATATCCTCATTCGGTCTGTCACTAATGGATCCAGCCTCAGAACCTGTTGCATTCTCTGCAATAGCTGCAATGAGTGGCCATAAAATTGATAAGGAACACATGCGACTGGAAGTTCAGGACCAGCAAAAAGCTTCAGTGAATGTGCAGCAGCCTCCAAATGCAGAGTTTCCAGCAAAAGTATCCCTCATGATGTGAAGAAAGTGCAAGAGGCCCACAGTGTCTTGTCCTTGATGGAAAGTGCTCCACATTTGTGCCATACAAATGCCAGGCTATGACCATCACAAATAAGAGACAATCTAACCACCGCCTCTTGGCATTCAACGGTGTTATCATTACTGAATTCCCCATTATCAACATCCTGGGGGTTATCATTGACCAGAAACTCAACTGGACTCACCACATAAACATGGTGGCTACGAGGACAGGTCAGATGCTGGGAACCCTGCGATGAGTAACTCACCTGACTTCTCAAAGCCTGTCCACCATCTACAAGGCACAAGGCAGGAGTGTGACAGAATACTCCCCACTTGCCTAGATGAGTGCAGCCCCAACAACACTCAAGAAGCTTGACACCATCTAGAACAAAAGAGTCCACTTGATTGGCACTACATCCACAAGCATCCACTCCCTCCACCACTGACAATCAGTAGCAGCAGTGTGTATTATCTACAAGATGCACTGCAGAAACTCACTATAGATCCTCAGACAGCACCTTCCAAACCCATGACCATTTCCACGTAGAAGGACAAGGACAGCAGATATATGGGAACACCATCACCTTCACAAGTTCCCCTCCAAGACACTGACCATCTTGACTTGGACATATATCGTGGTTCCTTCACTGTCGCTGGGTCAAAATCCTGGAATACCCTCCCTAATGGCATTGTGGGTTAACCTACAGCAAGTAGACTGCAGCGATTCAAGAAGGCAGCTCATCACCTTCTCAAGGGAAACCAGGGACGGGCAGTAAATGCTGGTCAGCCAGCGACGTCCACATCCCACAAACGAATTAAAAAAAGATGAGCAATGTTCATTGGCACCACTGAATGAGGATGTCCTGGGGCACCATGACAAAAGATGTTATCTGCTGGAGCGTTCCAGATGTAGGGTGCTAGAGACATTACATATGTAGTGTTGAGAGCACCATATCACAAGGCTAATCCTCGATACAATGCAAAACCAATTTCCACTAGGGCCATACAATGTCTCCTTAGGATGAGGTTCCCATGCCAATATCGGTCTAGATACTTGTTGCAGTACGGTACAGAGAATACCACGTAATCATTTCATGCTGCATTTTGGTCAACTGGTGCAGCCAATGAGGGTAGCCAATAGACCGCAACGATTTGTGAGAGCTGCGAATTGAGGATGTTGATTAGCAGGATATCAGTTTACCCATGCTAAAGTGCAGCAGAGCAGCCACAATAACCCATTCAGGACGTTTTTTTTTAGCAACCTCTTTCAAAACAACTGAATTGGGTGTAATCATCATTCATTACTGCAAATCTGTTGATGCCAAAAAGGCAAGCAGCCCCTGTATAATCTCAACTACAAGTGCAGCTTCTCAGTTTGTTTTTCTTGTTAAGTCAAAGTTAGGGTTGCAAACTTTTGGAAGCCTTCACAACCTCTGATGCTCCTTTATTCAATCGTGCAAAGCTTCAGGCTAGTATAAGCCCTAGAGAAAAAAATAGCTATCCTTCAGACAGTATTCCAACATTGTGTGACGCTAAGGATGGGTACCCCTTCTAGTTTCATTCTTTTAAGCTGCAGCTAAAATTGCACTTGATTAGACAGTTGATGTAAAGTGAACATTTATTAAGTAATGTGATATTCTGTTGACAATGAAAGTCACCGGTGTCACTTATATGCTTTTATAAGATTTTCTTATTACTTCCCCTCCCACGATGTCTAGGTCTGCAGCTGGAGTGGAGGGAGCCTGGCCATTATGGTGGAGCCTGTTGGCCAATGAGATTTGTGTAGACAATCTGGGTGTTTATGGATAGAGGACCCAGATATGTTGAGTGTGTCCTGGCAGATACAGGCTTGCCCTCTTTGGTTTAAACTCCGTGGTTGGTGATCACATGCAGAGGTGATGGAGCAAGGCACTGAAAAGGAGACATCTGAAGGGTCTCTGTGGTTCCTCATTTAATGCAGTACTGGAACCACTTCCCTCTTTGTGAGAAAGGAACAACTGGAGTGAGGCCAAAGTCCTGCCAGTGTCTACAGTGATCAAGTGCTGATCTGCATGCATCTTTAGCAGCCAATGAGTGTTCTACTTGCCCAGTCACTCCGTGGCCACCACCAGACTGTCCACAGAGACAGCGGATACATGCATGCTGGAGCCGGAATCATATTGATAGTATTGGTTGACTCCTCTAACATATGATCCAGCTTCCAGAGTGCTCTTCGACAAACCTACCTGGGCCTCCTGTGTTAGTTAGTGCGTTTTTGTGAACTTATTAATGGCTGTCACTATGGGGTCCTCTCCTGCCTGAGCCGAGTGGCTGCCTGGTCAGGGGCAGTCCTCTTAGTGCACATGACTGAGGGTGTTTCTTCTTTGGCCAACGAATGTGCACTGTCTTTAAAGTAACTACTGTACTCACTGAGGTATCAGAATCTGAGAGGGTAGAGTGTGCGGGTGACAGCCTTGCTACTGCTTCGCTGAGTGTTGTGTGTGTTCTTCCTCAGAGATGGAGGAAGAAGTGTTGACTGGAGGGGCTGATCCCTTAACAGCAGAGGCCTTGTGGATGCTGCTTGTCCCTATGGAAAAGGAGAGAGGAAATGAAATGGGGGTGGAACCTTGGGCATGTTAAGAATGCATTCACACCGGTCATAATGGGAAAGGAGTACAACACTTGATAATGAATTTTACTTGGTTGCTGAGATGTAGATATATTGGCATCACCAGACATGTGATCCTGACCCTCATGGAGTGTGAGCAGATGAACGTTAGGAACCCCACCATTTATCTTTGCCCTCTTTACAGTACTGAGGGCCATTTTCTTCTGGCAGAGACAAGGGCAGATGTGTGCGATGGAAGTGGCTGACAGTGTTGGTGCTGGTGGAGGAAAGTTGATGAGTGGGTAGGAAGCAGAGAGGACAGGAAGGGAAGTAGTTTGATATGATGCGGTTGATGTGTGCCATTGCGGGAGGCTGCATATATTATTTAGAGTAATGAACCTTGGGAGGTGGGTGCAACAGCAACATTCGAGTAAGTTGAGGTAGCAGAGAGAAGATGGTGCTACTTAGCCTTGCAGAGCACAGAACGTCATTATCCTATTTTCTGCTATTGGCATTCCTCCGGGCCATTGACATTGACCTGGTTGGCAATTTTGGTCCTGTCTGGCAGGTTCTGGTGCTGTGGTCTCTGGTCTCTATTGGCAGCCCTGAGGAAAGGGAATGGCCCTCCTATCCCCAGGAGCTCCAGGTGATGTCAATGATGCACATGGCTCGAGTATCAGTTTAGTCAGAGAGGAATCAATTAGAGAAAAAGTAGCTGAGAAAAGTACGAATAGAAATACAAGGAACTTCAATAAAGTTTGAAATGGGAAAGAAAAAAAAGTTGTGTGGTAGGTGCTAAATTGAATTTATATTTTGAATATTGTGATGTAAAACTTATGTGAAATATGCAGAGAGAGCAGAGGCTTACAGAACAAGAAGTGAGGTCAAATGGTGACTGAATCTGAGGGCAACAACAACTCAAGGTAATTTAACTGCAAAGAAAAGTTTTTCCCAAAATAATGGAACCTAAAATAATGCAGCTCTAACACCACAGAGTTAATTGACTGATTTTTATTGTCTGTAGACTAATGTAACCTAATTGCTGCTTTTCACTAGCAAATTGGTGCCTGTTCACCAATCAACAATATTCTAAACAAAACTTTGCATTGGTGACATAGGACAAAAATTAAAATTTGAACAAATTGATCCTCTCATTCCAGCCTCATTTTGAACACATTTCTATTTTACTTTTTTTTTTCCCCGTGAGATTATCTACCTTCAGCTGTGTGCTTTGAGTCAACTGACAGAAGACATGTATTGGTGGGTGGGTTACTGTTTGACTCCTGGTGAGTGAAGTGCACTGTTAACATCAGGTACTCCATCTAGTGGCCTACTAAACCCAAAAAAAAGAGTTGGCTGAGTGAGTCTTGTTGAGGCACTATTTTAATCATAATCGTAGAGAGGTCGCTTAGCACTTGACTGTTAGCTTATTCTGGCAAACATAGAGAGCTATTTATTATCCTAACAATGATGTTCAATTTCAGTTTTGATTATGTTTAAACAGATCATATATGTTATAATTTTACTTTGCACAAAGAAACAAGGGCAATTTTAACTGTTGCTGGGTGGAATCAATGGAAAAGATAATTGGGTGGGGTATGAAATGTGCTGTTGATTAAAGCCAAAATGATCCAAAATATGTTTCAATGAGTAAGAAATATTATTTGAGCCATGTATTGATACTGTAATTGTTCAGAACTGGTTTTAAACTTGTTAACATTGAATGGTTTATTTTCCTCTTAGGTGTTGCGGTTATTGATAAACCACTATGACTCTACACTTGAGCCGCAGTTGGATTGAAGTGAAAACTGATTCACATTTTACTGAAGACTTACCTAGGTTTTATTTTAACTATTTATGATACTTGGATGCATGGTATTCTGTGTGAAGCACAGTTACCCTGTCAAAAAATACCAGCACTGCAATATGTGTTTTTAAAAGAAGAATCAAGCACGAACCAAAGGATATATCAAGATATAAAACATGTTCACAATTAGCACTGCAGGTGATACTAAAACATTGTGCAATAAGCACATGCTATCAGCTTGGTCTTGCCAAGTGATCTGGAATGTCCAGTGTAGACAAGTGTCAGCCTTCGATAGAGACCTACTAACTGGAAAATGTGAATTTTCTACTGTTACATGTGAGTTCTACACATTATCATTGCTGAAAATCAAGCTGCTGCCTTTAAAGCACAACTATTTGGATCAGATGAAGCACTGTATTACCATAATTAACATTTTAAAAGGGAGACGAACCCAACATTCTAACCTTGGAGGAGCATAAAAGATACTTGCCATAATGATTTGTACTGAAATGAATTGCTACTTTTATTTCAAAAAATGTACAACACCTCTTTCCTTCCTCTGACTTAAGATTAGACCCTCAAATTTGAGAACTGAGCTAAAAGAAGGTATAAAATTTGTAAGTTGATCCTTTGGGTGCCAGGAAGTTTAATGCAGCCTTCAGATTTTGTGAGCGTGCTATTGCCAGTACAGAAATTCTTTGGACCCTTTTGTAATGATACCATGCTACATATTTTTCCAAACCAAAATGGACTAGAACTGTTGTGGACATTTCCAGACGTTGTTAAGATTAATGACATTAATTAGGATTAATTGTAATCAGCAGTATTTTTTTTTAAAAAAACCCTTGGCCACTGATGATGTGGAGGTGGTTACAGGCAAGCTAGGATGTCATAGCTGCCCCTCCAGTTGATCTAGAGGAGGTGGATTTAGCTGGTATAATCGTACACTAGGCAAATTGTATCTCTGAGAAAGACAAATTGAAAGTAACTTGAACAAGGATTATAAAAATATTTGCCTTTAACCTCAAATTTCTATTGTCCAGCCTTTCAAAGTTTGTAGCTAATTGTTTGACAATTTTAAATGGATGCTGCCACCTATGGTAATTTCTGATAAAAATGCTAAAACTTTTTTTTTTAAGAAAAGTAAAATGATGATAATATTTTAATACTAAGTGTATTCAAATTAATTTTGGCTACAGATAGTTTGCTTTTATATCTGTTCATACTTGGAGCAGTATAGGTTCAAGGTTTTGAGGTTGTATTGTATTCCTGATGTGAGTAGAGTTTTTTAACCTGTAACACACTATTTAATAAGATTGTAAATTTGTTAAATAGATATTAACTAACGGGTTATAGCCTTATTTGTTTTGGGTTTTTGCTCCTATGTGTGACATCATCTTAAAAACAGATTTTTGTACTATTGGCTTTAGACTTTTTGAATTTCTTTCATTTTCATTTTCTTCTTGACTGTTTCCTTTCTGCACTTAAAACTTTTTAAAAGCTTTGTATTTTTAAGGTTGCTCATTTTTCCTGTCTAATAAATTGCCACATACTCTATTGTTTTCACTGTGTGTGCCTCTGTTTTCCCTTCTATGCTTATTGATTCTTCAGGCTCTTAGCATTGAAATATATTTCAGTTTTATTTTCTATGTGTCTGTATTCAGAGAAGTTCAACTCTTATGGACAAGGTTTGATACTTGGAGATACTTGCGATTTTGCATTTTAATATTTCTTACATCCAATCCATCTTTTCATTTAATTTCTCATATTTAAACATTTTCTTTCCATTATTTAATGTCATGGTTTTTTGTTCCCTCATTTCTTGTGTTTTTCTTTTGAATCCTATTTTGCCTCTTTCCATGTAGCCACCAAACACTACTAGTAATGCTTGTTGGACCTGCTAAGTGTTGATCATGGCTTGCTTAAAAGTGTTACCTAGTGCAGGATGAGGGGGCAATATGGAAAATATAAAATGCAATAGGAAATGAATGAAATGTTAAGCTTGGGGCCCAATGGGCAGACGTGACAGTGGACTTGTAGTCAAATTAATTGTTAATGCAAAAATGTTTATGCCCAGCCTTTCAAATTAATCTGCTAATATGTATATTTGAATTAGAAGAGGTGTAACAATTATGGAAATTTATAGTTTTCTTTGCATACAAATTTTTGATTATGGTTCACTTGCTCATACACATAACTGTAGGTTGGTTTGAATATTTTTGGCAATTTAATGACAAACAAATTTAGTTCAATACAAATCATGTTTTTGTGCCACTGATTATCAGCAAAAGTTATTGAATTCAATAATAATTGCGCTTCTTATGTCAAACATAAGTTACTAAATTAATTTATGGATGTTATTAAGTTCAGTTCTTAAACTATTTCATCCTAAGCAGTGTTACAAAATAACTCTTCATCCATAATAGTGTCATAAAACATAATTAAGTTGTAATTCTGTAACTCTGACATTATTAATATGTAATAGACAACCAAATCAGGTGAAAACGGTCATACTATAGTGACAGAGTATGGTGTCAGGGAATAATGTACCATTGTACTCTGCTGTCATTTGAAACAGTGTTTGAAATCTTTTTGTTTTATGTTGTGATTTATTTTAAATGTTCCTGCCATATCTGTGGAACACTAGACTGTGAAGCACTCCTGACTGTATTTTATTTTTTTCAACTTGTCAATAAAATGGCAGAAATAATTTGAACATTTTATTGTTTGTTTGGCTTGGATGAATGCAACATTTCTTTTGTGTAGCTCTTAACATTTTCTCCCCACCTTAGAGCACCCCGTCCCCAACTGAGGATAAAGACTCAGGAGGCAGGCAAGTGGAAGACTTTTATTCAAGCAGCAATTAGTTAATACAGGAACAGGGCCAAATATCTTCCCTGAATCTGGCCTCGACGTGAGAATTCAATCATTCTACCTCCCCACCTACGCTCACCTTTACCGGCTCCATCCCCGCCTCTGTCTCCTCTCCACCTATCTTCTCCTCTATCCATCTTCTATCCGCCTCCCCCTCTCTCCCTATTTATTTCAGAACTCCCTTCCCCTCCCCCATTTCTGAAGAAGGGTCTAGGCCCGAAACGTCAGCCTCTCTGCTCCTCTGATGCTGCTTGGCCTGCTGTGTTCATCCAGCTCTACACCTTGTTATCTCTAAAGACTGCTTGAATTCTGTTATTCATTGTACTCTACCAAATTCAGTTATTCCTCTTATATTTTCCACTGTCCCAATTACATATACCAAAAATACAAAAGACAGTTGGTTTTAACTAACTGCTATAAGATTCATAATATTAATTTCTGTTAGAAAGTTAGTTATAAGGTGTAAAGTTGTACAGCTACTTCTACTGTTAGCACTTAATAACTAATAAGTTGAGAACAATCTATTTCGTTCAGGGAATACCAAGCATCTTTTAGAGATAAGATGATACTAGTTAACTTCCGCATCTAGGTTTAAATGTTTTCCCCCTAATACTTCTATTATACTTTGGTTATACGTGTATGTATACTTATGTTGAAATCTATCTGTGATTATCTGAAGAATCTTTAACTAGAACCTATTTCTTAATATTATGAATACCTTCAAAGAAACAACTAATTACTACAAAATAACTTTACCTGTTGTTTTCACAGCTGCCTCATGAGTTAGATTGGCTGGTTTGTTGGCTGAGATTTACACCCCTTGTTCTGTCTGGTGCTATTCACTTAATGGGACAACGTTCTTTCATTAATGAGGCTGGAATCAATCATTTGTCTATCCTTAGGCATCTTCTTATCAAACTGTCTCAGATGGTTGCTAGTAGGGCCTCCTGTTCACCTTGGAGCAGCCCTGTTCAAAGGTACCATTACGTTTCACTTAAATGCTGGAGCCGGCTGTTTAATTCTACTTGTCTCTTGGTGGCCATTTTGTGTCTTTCAAACATGGGCCACCCTGACACAAATGGAGCCAGTTTTCTTTATGTCTCTAATTATAAAGTGTACGTGTTTCAGTATCATCTTTCTTTTACATAATAAAGGAGCTGGATTTATAGAGTAAGGAAGAAAGTGTCAAATACTCAAGAAGTTGAAGCAGGAAATGCTCGAAGGATAAAGCAGATAGATCAGGAACTGAAAAAACAGTCGGATTAATATTCAAGGTACAAGTGAAATAACAAATAATTTTAAATTCCTCTGTTTCATACTTTTTAAAATATGTCAAAATTTAATATAATTTTATCTCATTTGAATTCACTTTAATTCAAATAAGTTGAAACCGCCCATAATTTATGCATAAAGATATTTTTATGGCAGTTGATTTCTTCACGTTCCGTAAAATATTGATATGTTAATGAATAATTTATGATTAGAATTTAAGGAATATTTTAAATCAGTCACTTAGTAGTGACAGTAATTGAATATTGCTGGAGAGAGATATGTTGCCAAATGTTTTCATTTTTCACTCATCAAGACGAAGCTAAGAATACCAAGTTTCAAATGATTGCAACAATTTATGCGGCAGGAGGACATTGCTGATCAGTTAGCATATTGATGCTGGCTAAGACATCGCCATGGTGGAAGTGTTAGAGAACTATAGGCTCCCACACGCTCCTGGGTAATTTCAAAAAAGTGCAAAACATGAGCATATTCTTTTTGTTCACAGAGAATGGATCTTATATGTGAATATATGTTACTTCTTGCAAGTATAAATGTGAACCACATTTATATTATCTTATTATCTTAAGTTGGTTGTCTGTGGAGCTATTTGTGCACTCAAAAGTGTACAACATTTTCTGCCCAATCACTGAATTATACTCTAACAGCATGTGTTTTGCTTTGGTTTTGCGTGCATTGGCTAGTTTATTACAGTGTGTACTCTGAATATTATGAGCATGCTATTTGAATCGATAAATCACTAATTGCGTTTTGACACGAAGTCTGTTGTATCAATTAAAGATCTTTACAAACACTTAGTGAGGTCTAACTCCAATAACAATTGAATTTTATAACCTGTTGCATTTATAGATACTTTCTAATCAACCTGTTCAGCAACTCTGGAGCCGATAGGAGTTGAACCTACGGCTCCTGGCTCAGAGATAGAGACACTCAGTCTGCACAACGTGAGTCTTCCAGTTGTGTTTAGATTGAATTCTGACCAACCCACCCACAAACAAGTTCTTTTCCGTTCACTGTCACCATAACTTTCTTTAAAAATTGTATATTTAAAACATCAAAGTAACTATAGAAATCAGAACAAATTGTATTTGATTACAGATTTTCTAGCATTCTTCCAAGCTCTCTGATATGCTGCAGTTAGCACACATAGAAACAGAAGTAGGCTATTTTGGTCCAACAAACTTATTTCGCTATCAGTGAGATCATGGATGATCTGCAACTCAACCCCATGCACTTCATCTTTGCCCCTCATTCTTTAATATGTATGTTTAACCAAACTTTATTAATCTCAAGACTTAAACTTAACAATTGATCTACAATAAATTGCCATTTACTGAAGAGAGTTCCAAAATCCTTTGTGTATTGAAGATTTTCTTAATTTCACTCCTTGCATCTCCTACCACACGAACATGCTAATTTTTTGTGTGCCATACACTTCTCTTACTGCAGAAGCTGCCGTTGCCTTGCCTGCACTGTGTTGAAGAGTATTCAGATGCTAATAGTTAAAGTTGTGACTGCCCTCTCATCTATCTTTTACTCTGCTTTTTTTTACTGTAAGTGCATGGTTTCTTTTTAATAAGAACAATTATTTTGCACATGTTGAAGTTATGTAACTGGGCTAGTAATCCAGAGATGGCTGTATTATTGGTCTAGAAACATGAGTTCAATACCACCATGACAACTGGGAGTATAAATTTAATTAAATAAGTTTGAGAGCAAAACCTAGTATTAATAAGTATGCCCATGAAACTATCAGATTGTCATATAAATTCATCCTGTTCATAAATGCCTTTTGGAGAACAAAATTTGTCATCCTTAAGTGGTCTGGCATGTTAATAACTTTAGACACATAGCAATGTGTCTGACTCTTAAATCCCCCAGCAAGCCACTCAAGCAAAGGTGCCAACCATTTTGAGCATCTCTAACAGACCAACTTGGAATAAAAGTGCGAACAGCATGTTAAAAGTTGAGCATCTAACTCACCCATTTCAGCAAACACCACCTGACCCACCTGTGATAAGGGTTGTGGATCCAACATTGGACTTCTCATTACCTTGGGACCTAAACGCTGGAGTGTAACAAAACCAACTTCAGTATTGAGGGACTGCCTAAAAAAATAGTAGTACGAGGTCTATATTTTTAGAAGTGAACAGCACTTGAACGTAAACTACCTACAAAAGATGGTAAGAGATCTTGCTTGGAGCCCTAGACACCAAAGCTCCAGTTCCATATAACTAGATGTCATTAATGCATAGTTCCTGTGGCACTTGCTCAGTAACTGTACTTGAAGTAAAAATATAATTCTCTTTACTTGGCAGAGGTGGGTTTTGAAGACAAGTGTATGTGCTGGAAAGTGAGAAACTGATTACAAGTATATGTGTGTGAGTAAGGGGATGCAGGGATTTCACTGAGTCTTTTGAATGTGGAGAGTTTGGCTGAAGCCCACTTGATTACATTTTTTTTTCAGAAAGTACTTTCAAAAACAGATTTTCATGTTTATATGATATTGTATATTAATCTATAATGCACAAGTTTTTAAAAAAGAATACAAAATGTTGCTCTGTTTTATTGCTGTTTGATTCTTTTTCGGAGTTACATTCAGTAAAGTTTTTAAAAAATTTCATGGGATGTGAATGTTGCTGGCTAGCCTTTGTTGCCAATCCCAAAATTAGCTGTAGAAAGCGCTGGTAAATTTAAATGAGATCACAGTGGAAAATAAATTGCAAAACACTATTGCAGTCCTTTGCTTTGCTTTGTATGTACATTATCCAGCAATGGTCACTTTCTTTTGTCAGTACTGTATGAACTTCATCCTGCATTGAATGCTGAGATGCTGGGGACACTTTGGTGATTTGATGCAAATACATTGGTCCACTGTTATGGTAATATAAGGTAAAGGGTAAACTAATATTTCTGCTCACTTGAAGTCCAGTATTTCCACCCATTTCAAGTGATCTAGAAGTCTAAAACTACAAATCATGAAAGTGTTATCATTATGTTAATGCTTATCAAAACAGTGTCAGACCTTTTTATCTTCTGGCACTAATTTCCAAACCTTTTTATCATTCTTTTTTTCTTTTGTTAGCTATTGTCAACACCTGAAAAGGAAAAAATTACCAAAGACAAATGTGATCATTACTGGCAACGACAGCAAAATTTATAATGGGAAAACAAGGAGTTGCCAGAGCAACTAAACAAATACTTTATCTGTCTTCACAGAGAAAAGTACAAAACAAAGCTCAACAGATCTGGAACAGTTCCATAGATCGGTAGGTGTAGTGATAGGAACCAGGTGAATCTCATTGACAACGAGATCCTTGATTGGGGTTGTTAATCTGGGCCAATCAGTGTCTCCTCACTTCAGGGACTAACTTCAAGCTGGCTGGCCACACCCAGTGTACGGTGCACATGTAAATAAACTGTGGCTTGGTGATAGAATACCAGCCTCTGTGCAGTTTTTCAGAAGGTAACAAATGTAACCTTTCTATTTAAGGGACTGAGGGGGGGTGGAATGGTGATGACAGACCTGTTAACCTGACATTAATAGTAAGG